TACATAGCACTGACTGGCACTGACCAGGCAGGCCTCAAACTCACAGAGATTCACAGAGATTCATTCTCTGCCTTCTGAGTGCTGGTATCAAAGGCATGTACCACCACTCCTATCTGGTCTTTATTTTTAAAAACTTTTTTGATTTAAGGATGGTTGTTAGCTACCATGTGGGTGCTAGGAACTGAATCCAGGTCCTATGTAAGAGCAACCAGTACTCTTAACTGCTGAGTTATTTCTCCAGCCTCTATATATTTCTTCATTATTATTAGTGTTACTTTGTTGTTGTTGTGGTGGGTTTCTTGGTTGTTATTTGTTTGTGTTTTTGAGACAGGGTCTCCCTACATCCCCAGCTGGCCTGGAAATTGGTATGAGACCACACTGGCCTCAATCTCACAGAAACCTGCCTGCCTCTGTCTCTCAAGTGCTGGGATTAAAGGCAGGTGCCACCACACCTGACTTCATTATGTATTTACTTTTTAAAAAAATTTTTTTAATTTAAAAATTTTATGTGTTACCTGCATGTATATAAGTATACCCATGTCATGTAATGCCCACAGAGGTCTGAAGACGACGTCTGTTAGATTCCCTGGAACTGGAGGTACAGACTATTGTTAGCCGCCGTGTGGGTACTAGGAACCAAACCAAATCCTCTGTGATATCAACTGGTGCTCTTAACTGCTGAGCCATCTCCCCCCCCCCGCCCCCTTATGTATTTCTTATGTAATAGTTCATAGTCTTTGAATGTTTTCTTCTTTGCTTTTTTTTCCTCTTTCTTACTGATAATATAAAAAGTCTTTGTATACTGCTGGCATCAATGCTTCTCAATAAGCATTTCAAATATTCTTTTAAGCTATGAATAGGAAGTGAGAAGGCAGCCTATTACATCAGATGCTAATTCAGCATGGTGTTTGGTTAAATTAATTACTTGCCCTTGATTATTGGAGCAATGGTAAACTTCTTTTGTTTCTTCTCTTCCAAAGATGCATAGAAAAGCTCCTTCTGTCTGAAATAAAGTTTGGCTCTGTGTTGGTTGTAATTTGCTTTTTCTGGCTGGCACAGCCTTCTTTTTGTTTTCTGTCTTCTGACAGATTATAGGATTGTGGGGAAACAGCGTCCAGGGCTTTTTCAGGAACCATGCCATAAAAATCTACAGGAAGAAGCCATTGGCTTTGGCACTAAAGAAAATTGGCTCTGCATTTAAAGATGCCAAATCATGCTTGATTCACAAGTTTGCTGTCTCATTTCGTGTATGCGTGTGAAACTTTTTTAGGATGTTGGCTTTTTTTCTTTTTCTACCATGTGCTACCCCATCAGTATGAGAAATTAACAACTCATCCCTCCAACTCCCTACCCTCAACACACACAGCCCGAACACCCTAAACCATAACAAATGTGGGAGTTCTTTTGAGGATTAGGGAAAAATATGCCCCCTTATGGTGATTTTGAGCTTTAATTCTGGTTTAGCAGTTAAAGCTTTTTCTATGCAGTCTTGAATTATTTAGTTATAGAAATGATTTACCAACTAAGGTGTCAATTTTTTTTTTTTTTCTTTTTGAGACAGGGTCTCCCTGTAGCCCCAGGTGTCCTGGAACTCACTATGTAGACCAGGGTAGCCTTGAACTCACAGAGATCCTCCTGCCTCTGCCTCTCAAGTGCTGGTATTAAAGGCATGAGCCATCATGCCTAGCCCTAAGGTGTCATTTTTGTTTTACTTTGTTGCACAGGCTGGTCTGGAGCTTACTATGTAACCCAGGCTTGGCTTGAACTCAAAATGTTTCTTGTTTCACCTCCTGAATGGAGGAATGAAAGACCTAAGCCACCATGCCTGGCTCCAAAATTTCTTTATCTAGGTCTTTCAGAGGTATTTGTGGTTAGCTAATTCTCAGAGTGCTGTTATTTTATAACTTGGGAAACTTAATTTGTCTAAGCATGTAGGAAACTTTATTCATTTACCTTTTCTAATTATAAGATTTTATTTATTTATTTGTACATGTTCATGCATACCCTCAGGAGAGGGTATCAGAAATCCTGGAGTTACAAGTGGGTGTGAGGTGTCTGAATATGGGTGCTGGGAGCTGAATTCTGGTCCTCTGCAAGAGTAGCATGTGCTCTTTTTTAAAAAAGTTTTTAGTTATTTTATGTGTATGAGTGTATTGCCTGCATGTATGTAAGTGTACCTATGTTATGCAGTGCCAGCAGAGGTCAGAAGAGAGTGTTGGATCCCCCTGGAACTGGAGTTACAGATGGTTGTTAGCTACCATGTGGGTGCTGGGATTCGAACCCAGGTCTTCTGCAAGAACAGCCAGTGCTCTTAACCACTGAGCCATCTCTCCAGCCCCAAGAGTACCATGTGCTGTTAACATTTTTTTTTTAATGTGTGTCACTGTTTTGACTGTGTGTTTGTATGTATACTTTGTGTGTGCCTGGTGCCCAGAGAGGCCAGAAAGAGGGTATTGGATCCCCTGGAACTGAAATTAAGAACATGTAGGTGCTGGGAACCAATCCTGAGTCCCCTGGAAGAGCAGCAAGTGCTCTTAACAGCTGAGCTATCTTTCCAGCCCTCAATAATTTTTTTATATTTATTTTTAGTTTTTATTTTACTTTATTTTTTCAGAGTTGAGGACCAAACCCAGGGCCTTGCGCTTTGCGCTCTACCACTGAGCTAAATCCCCAACCCCAATATATTTATTTTTATTTTATGTGTATGAGAGTATTGCCTGCATGTAGGTAGTTGCACCAGTGTCATGCCCATGAAGGTTAAAAGGCTCTGAGAGTGTGTCTTTCTTTATTTCTGAGTGCCTTTTAACCTTCATGCTTAAAGTATACATTAAAATATCTTTTAAAAAATCTACAGTTGTCAGCCAGGCGTGGTGGCGCATGCCTTTAATCCCAGCACATGGGAGGCAGAGGCAGGTGGATCTTTGTGAGTTTGAGGCCATCCTGGTCTACATAGTGAGTTCCAGGACAGCTGGGGCTACAGGGAGACCCTGTCTTAAAAAGACCCCCAAAAATCTACAGTTGTCAACTAAATTATTAAAAATTATAAAATTAATTCATGCTTTTCAAATTTTGTGTATGTTTGGGTTTTTCTTTTTTGTTATTGAATGCCAAGCAATCATTTTACCAACTAAGCTATATCCCAACCCCCAGAATAAAACAAATTTAATAAGAACCTTACTTCATTCTTCTCTACCCCTCTTTCTCTAGCAGCCACAAGAAAGATATTTTCTTGGACCTGCAGTCAATATATAGTATTCATTTATGATTTCAAAATAAGACTGATATGGTCGGGGTGGTGGTACATGCCTTTAATCCCAGCACTTGGGAGTCAGAGGCAGGCAGATCTGAGTTTGAGGCCAGCCTGGTCTACAAAGTGAATTCTAGGACAACTGGGGCTACAGGGAAACCTTGTCTAAAAAAAAAAAAAAAAAAATAGAGTGCTTGCTTAGTGTGCACAAAGGCCCTGGGCACTAACCCTGGCACCTCAAGATGTAAAAAGGACATGATTGTCTAGTGTCTAGATACTGAGGGTAGGAATAGGCTTGAACTTAGGAGTTCAAGACTAGCCTAAGTACCATGAGGGAGGGATGTGACTATTTTATATTATCAGTCAGGATTTTTAAAAATTTTAACTTTCTGCTTCTTTTTTTTTTTTTTTTTTGAGACAGTCTCCCCATAGCCCCAGCTGTCCTGGAACTCATTTTGTAGACCAGGCTGGCCTTGAACTCACAGAGATCTGCCCTGCCTCTACCTCCCAAGTGCTAGGTTTATACCACCATGCCCAACTTTTTTTTTTTTGTCTTTTTGAGACAGGGTCTCCCTGTAGCCCCAGCTGTCCTAGAACTCACTATGTAGACCAGGCTGGCCTCAAAGTCACAAAGATCCACCTGCCTCTGCCTCCCAAGTGCTGGGATTAAAGGAGTGTGCTACCACACCAGGCCTTTTTCTTTTTTTAAGAACAGATCTCTATATGAAGCCCTGGCTCACCTGGAACTGGCTGAATAAAACAGGTGACCCGAGCCAGCTTTTTGCTTGTTGGTTGTTTTAACTAATATTAGCTATGTGGTATTAAGGAGACAGGGTTTTTTTGCATCTTAATTATATTGAAACCTGCTAAGGAAGTGGTCATCTTGTTTATTGGATGTAAATGCCTTGGACCTGACACAGATTGGAGCCATTTTTATTTGTTTGTTTATTTATTTATTTATTGTCTTTTTTTTTTTTTTTTAAATCTTTTTGAGCAGAGACTCCCTGTAGCACCAGCTGGCCTGGCCTGGAGCTCGCTACGTAGACCAGGCTAGCCTCCAACTCAGAGAGCTCTGCCTCCGTCTGCCTCCCCAAGTGCTGTGCGGCCACCATGCTGGGCCCATTCTGTGTGATTTTTTTTTTTTTTTTGAATGTGATTTGTGTTCCCAACTCCACCAACTTCCAGATATATACTTTCTTACCACTCCACCCCCCATCCCACCTGGGAGGCAGGAATTTCCAACAGGAAAAAATGATGCAGTTGGTTTAATACTTAAATTGTCCCATCGTTTTGATGGAATGAGTTGGATTAAAGAAATGAAAGGTAAAGCAGAGAGGCCTGAAGGGCATCCTTTTTGTGGTTGGGTGTCTTGTGGTTAATAGGTTTGGAAGTCTGAGGCACTCCAGTAGGAACCACCTGAGGGGCTGGGCACTCAGTGCGGGGCTGAGAGCGGGTGGAGGAACTGTAGAGGCGGCTGGGCATCACCTGGCCTGGCTGCGGGATGCTTGCTTCCTAGCTTTCGGGTGGGGGCCTGGAGAGATGGGGGCAGCTCTAACAAAGAGGAGCCGTGCTGGGGCCGGGGCCTCGGGTAGCTGGCCTATCCCCGGTGGCTGACCTCCCAGTGGGTCTCCTCAGTTGGCTGTGTAGCAAGTCGCTCTGCTGGTTCCCTGGCTCACCATTGGCTGTGTAGACAGGAGGGTGCTTGCCAAGAGCCGGGATAGAGTGTTGAGGGGGCGGGGCTGGCTTCCGGCGGCGGAGGGGAGCAAGCTGGAGCCAGCTGGGGGAGGGGGTGTCGGCGCACCGTGGAGTGCAGCGCTCTGTGAGCCCGGCACCCGGAGTAGCCGCCTCCCCCTCCCCCTGGCAAGGCCCCTGGAGTCCCTTCTCATCTGTCCTTCCTGGGCTGGGGCGAGTGGGGCTGCGCTGTCCCAGGCCGGCGGGGCGGAGCCCGGAGCCCCACTGAGCGCTGCAGAGCGAACCTCACCTCCTTTCCAGGGCGTAAGGTGTGTGTGTGATTTTTCCACCGGGACTTTGGTCGACTTAACCTTGTAAGAAAAGGGGAAACGGAATGGGAAGTAAGATCTCTGCATCCTGTCAGTTTATTTTGATTTTCCATTTCTGTGCTTCATCCTTCTATCTCGTATCTCACTCTTGCTTCTGGTTAAGGAGATTCCGGACTCTTATCTCTTTTTAGTGATGTGTGGGCTGCGTAGTAAAATGCACAGAGAAGAAAAGAGGAGCCCTTTTCATGAAGCATCTGATGCAGTAAACCGGGAGGGGGGGTGTAGGCTGGGATTGGTTTTTCAAACTGTACGGCATCTGCGTCCATTAAAGCGGTCTTCATCATTTTCCTCTTTCGGTCGGCTTTAATCATCAGTAGCAGTCCTAAAGAGGAGATTCCAGTGCAAAGAAGGAGCAGCCTCCTTTATTAGTAGTTAAAAGGAATCCTGGTGATTTTTAGTGATTAACTCTGCTAAAGTCTCCTCCCTCGACTACATTGTCAAAGGCATTGTGTAGTGGCTCAGCCCTACTGAAGAAATATCTAGAGCAGGAAAACTTACCTGGTAAGTTACTGAAACTTGAAAGTCCTAATCAGTTTCTCCATTGGTATATTTCTTAAATTTATAACTTCCTGAAGAGATTCATTTCTGTTACAGAAAACCAAAACCACACCTAAAAAAATACAGATAGATTTTAATTTGTCATTTTAAAGATTCTCCTCCCTGAACTTTACTAATTTGGGTGGCTATAGGATTACAATTTAGATGATGTTTATCTCTTTTGAGTTCCTTTGATTCTGTAAGTTATGGATCTTTTTTTTTTGAGACTGGCTGGATCTGTAGCTCAGGCTGGCATGGAACTCTGTCCTTGTGCCTCAGCTTCCCAATTTATTTTTTTAAACTTTAAAAACAAATTTATTTCTATTTTATGTGTATGCATGTATTGCCTGCACGTAAGTGCACCCATGTTGGGCAGTGCCAGTGGAGGTTGGAAGAGGCTGTTGGATCCCTTGGGACTGGGGTTATGGCCAGTTGTTAACTGCCATGTGGGTGCTGGGATTCAAACCCAGGTCTTCTGCAAGAATATTCAGTGTTCTTAATTGCTGAGCCATCTCTCCAGCCCAGCTTCCCAATTTGTAAGCCACTGCACTAGGCTTGCAGCTTGCATTCTTTTCTTTCTGACAGATATGGATCTCCTACAGCCCAAATCAGGAACCTCTTTATGTTTTAAATCAGAGGAAAGTTATCAGTTGAAGGTAGAATTCCTAAAAGTTATGATATTAGGAACAGTATATGTGTGTGGGGTGTCAGTCCTCATATCGTTTTTTGGTTTTGTTATTTTTCTCAGGCAGAGTCTCTTCTGTGTAGACTTGGTTGACCTGGAATTTGCAGCATTCTGCCTCCCCCATATCTGGCTTGGTATCTTTGCTTTAATTTGGCATTTTCTTTTTTTTTTTTTTTTTTTTTTTTGTTTTTTTTTAGGGGGAAGGTCC